TACACCTGATATGTATGTGCCATGCTGATGCTCTTTAATTTCCTGCATTCTGTGATATTCTGTGTTTATGGTCGCTAAATGTCSATACATTTGAGTGACAAGAAGTCACAGAGACGGATGAACTTGAACAGATGCYCATTTGTCATTTGATTGATTTCCACATTGTGACAGGGAAATCCCCGATGGATTATTTTAAACTATTTCGTGCTATATTTTCTCCCAAAGGTTTTCTGTATATTGACAAAATCTGCCTAAAATCTTTACTGTGGATACTTCTATRTCACCCTTAGTAAGCCTGCATACATAACAAAATTCTTAGAATTGATACTTTGTTACTGCTAAGAAAATTTTCCTGGAAATTCCTGGAGTGTTTGGAAGCTTGAGCCCTTGTCTCAAGCAATATTTAAGCAAACATCTTCTGATACATCTTAAAAAGTAATGGTGGTTTTGCCTCAAATATGGACTAAACTGAAATATTTGTTTTAATTACAGCCTTTAGCATATTAATTGCATATTATTAAGAACTAAGAGAACTGCATTTTTCCTAATGTTATCAAAACATAAGACAAAATAAATTTGAGAGATACATAAGAGAAATACTTCCTAAATTCAGRGTGTTAAGTGCTACAGTAGTGGTAGCTCTGGAGTTTGCACAGGCTTTTTTGCAAAGGAGATGGGATTGAACCAAAGCAATTGTAGCCCTTGCAAGCCTGAGAATGCCATTTTCTCTGAATGGATTGATMCAGAAGCCCCCTGTACTTGCTGGGAAGCTGTAAGCTTCTGTCAGACAGACAGACAAGTTTTCCAAATGCTCTTGTGTTATATGCAGATCAGCCAAAACAAAAATGTCTGAAAGAGTTTTACAGAGGGGATGTAAAGCTTGGGATAAACAGAGAATTGAAAATAATCTCAAAAAATTGAACTTGATCTGCCTTCTTTGAAGTTAAAGTGATTAGAATGGAGCAGACTGGGATTTATACACTTCACAGGCTGTGGGAGGGACTTCAAAAGCACAGAGGTGACAGAGGAATGTATTTTTTCAGCTGTGCAGTGACAAAAATGCAACATGGTTTCAAGGTTCTTGCAGCAACAGGAAGAATAGGAAAACAAAAAGTTCTAATTTTAGTCTCTGCCAGTCATCCATGTTTCAGTTTGGTTGTCTCCTACTTAGGACACTCACCTCAAATGCACCTTCAGCAGAGCACATGGCTGATAAACACTGATAAAATATCACTAAATACACAGGRCAGACAAACAGGAACCACCAGGACTATTTTTAAACTATAGCTTTGAAAACTGGTCAAATGCATGATGTGCACAGTTTGAAACTAGGATGTGAATTGGGATTGCCAATTCAACCAAACAGGTTTCTGACAGTCATCTACTTCTGTCTGTTAGAACCATCCCACCGTATGCAAAATACTTGAATACGTGAAGCAGTAAGATGCTGTTAATTTCTTGTTTGGKACAACCTGTCACAGGAAAGACATCTTAGTTCTAGCATTAAAATCTCCACAAAGCAGAAAAATGTACCCACCTCCAATTTAATCTCCCTTCCGGGCAGAAGAGGAGGAAACATTATGGACACTGGTGAGTGTAGTCCCTCTTCCCAAGAAAGTGTTTGCAGCTGAACTCATTAACCAATTAGAATTCATCACAACTGTGTTTTAGTGAATACCTCATCTACCATTTACTGTCCTACTRCTGCATATTTCACTGCTGCTCTTGCCTGAATGCAAGTTTAACTTTGCATTAAAAAATCAAACTTAGAGGAACTGGGTTTTTTTTCCGGCTCCCCTGAATGGTGGCACACTCTTCACAGTAAGAATATGGTAAGAAGTGGTTTACAGACTTAATCAAATTGTGCACATGAACGAAGTTATTCAACATGCATGAGTTTTTCCAGAGTGACCTGAGCATCTTAATGCCACAGTGATCTCCATATGACAGTTCTGTCTAATATAAAAAGATCCAAGTTTGCAGACTTTGTGAACAGCATTCTGTTTCTGCATGCTTGACACTTGCTCAAGCAGCCTTASCCTTGATCAACTCTGCATGCTCCCACAATCCAATTAATAAAATATAGAGCACTGCTTTCTGTTGTACATCATATTTTGAAGTTTATAGATAAATGCACAAGCTGCTACATAAACATTTATTTAAAAACATATTTATTATAAATATGCATTAAAACAGTTACTTTTACAATATATTTCACTTTCTTTGCWGGTTCCTAAAATTAAATTTTCAATGGTTCTAGGGGAATTCTTTCTCCAGAAGGAGGGCACATCCCTARTTTATAAATTTTGCAAGGAAATAGAAAGCACAAATACAGTTGTATTTTAGTCCCTGCAAACACAGAGTAGACCCTATGACATCAGAGTATTTTCACACACATGTTCCCTATCCACATGTGTCCAGATCACTTATTTCCCCTGCTTCAGCCCTCTACTCTCACTCACCTGTAGTAATGTGTTCCCACCTCTTTCAAGTAAGGTTTACATTCCGCTTACAAGTAGGAAAGCTAATCTCCACAAGGCTCCACATGCAAACCCACTAATTTATTCTGTACATTTTAAAATTTATTTCTCGGGCAATTATATTACACAAAGGTCTCTTACGAAAATTAGCAAGAACAAAATCAATAGATTTCTACAGCAATTATTTAAAACTTATCCTAACAGTTTACATAGCTTTAGGACAGGTTCCTGATGAGCAATTCAATGTGCTAATTTTAAAAACCTAAATTCTAATACTTTTTAGTCTGCTCTGAGAAGCTTTACAGCTTTTTAAAAAGCACATAAATGATTTGACCACAATAATAAAAGCAGTGGCCAAAATGGGCATAAGATAAAATTTTGATGTAGAAACAGATTATTTCAGTTCTATCAAGTGACACGCTTGTTTTGCTGAATCATAAYGTTAGACTAATATTAAACTTTCAACTTGAAGTTACTATATCAATGTTGTGTTTGGCTGTCCATGCRAACAACTGAAATGATTCTTCTCAACTGTTCAATCTAAATAGTATTGATTTCCTGTCTTGACACTACTTGAAAATAAGATAAATATTCTACAAAAACAGGCGGCACTCTCAAATAACTAACGTAAGAAATTTCAATTCCTMTGTACTAAGCCTACCAGTGACAGAGAAAAAACATCGGGAGTATTTCCTTTTAATTAAACCACAGTAATTAATTTTCAACCAACCTTCAGGATCAAAACAGATCTTCAATTGAGTGACTTCACATTGCCATAAATCCTTGCCCTTTTTGTACAGCCACTCCACTTGACACCCTGAGTGGACACAGCAGCCTGGACTGCAACAAGACAAGGAAGCGGAGAGGTGGCGAACAGAGCAGGAATGGTCAAGGGAGAAGGCCAGATGCGTGCCGAATAGTTTGTATAAACATTGATAAACTTTTGTTTATACTTCTAGTTACACAGGTAAGGGAGTTTAGAATTATGCGGTGGGGGGGGGGGGCATTAATAAACTATTTTATACTTTTGAGAAAGAACCTTTAGCTGCTCTTTTGGTACACAACTGTTTCTTCCACCAGCAGCCAATATTTAGAAATAAAAACAAACATCCATGAAGCTCATTTCTTGTCTTTACCATCAATTTGGGAACAGTGTGGCCACATACAGCTCATCGTCACTGGGTCTGTGCCAACCTGCTCGGGATGTGCGCCCCGATCCCCACAGACGGCACCTCCCCGGACTGCAGCTCCTTTGGGTTTCCTCAACTCCACAGGCAGCCCGAGCTTTGGCCAGGGGAATAACCCGGCCCGGCCAGAGGGGAGGGGAAGGGTGGGCACGCAGGACGTCCTGCTGAGGATCAATTTTGAGTATAGGTGCTATTTTTCTAAATTAACTGGAGGGGAAATCAAACGGCGGCAGGCACTGTGCTGGTGTGGCAGGGCAGCAGCACTGCRGCTGAGGGCAGCACCGCGCCCGGAYGAGGGCGACACCCGCTGCTGGCAGCGCAGAGCCGGGGCGGGCCGCGCTCCCTCAGGGCTGGCGGCAGCGGCCCGGCCCCTGCGGGTGCGGGGCGGAGACGGCAGGGCCAGGAGCGGCGGCCGCCATCTTCAGTGCGGGCACGGGTTGGCGCAGCGGGGCTGCCATGTCTGTTAAGGGCGGCAGCCGGGCAAAGGGTCCCTGGGCCTGCGCCCGCCCCACGCTGCCGCGGGCACCCGCACGGGAGCGCGCCCGGGGCGGCTGCGAGTGCAGCGGGGACGGGGCGCTCCAGGTGGGATCTGACCGCGCACTCCGCGGGAACGCCGGSACCGGGAGCGTGGTTGGGCGAGCGGGGTGGGCCCGCCCTGAGCGGAGGCGCCGCYGCGGRGTCCGGCASGGCTGGATCTATGGCCGAGGGGAGYCTRTTCTGAGTAAGGAASAGCGTAGCTGCTGGCTGAAATAAAAGCCTGAACCGCCTCGCTTACGGGATGCTGTACCCCACGGTGGCCCGGGCTGGGGTTTGCTCTGCTCCCCGCCTGCTGCCATCCCGGCCTGCAGCCCCTGGGGRAGGAGGAGTGCGAGGGACCGGAGCAGTGCGGGAGGCGCTGTCAGAAGGGTTTGCCTGTAGGATGAGAGGAAAGGCTGTTGGATTCTATTCTTTACAGYCTCCAAAAATAGCCGTCCCCGAGAAACTTTCCACTAGGGGAGTTTTCTCTGTGAGGTGCCCCAGATTTCATTGGGAGATGAGTTGGCTGGTGCTTCTTTGCCTTTTTCTGGAAGCAAACCCCGTGATTTGCATCACCAAAGATGTATAGCAACTAGCAACCATCTCTTGCTTGTAGGAGGGCCATGAGCAGTAACAACAAGGTGTTGGCTGCCAGGTGTGAATGAACGCCTCATTTTCCTGCTCGAAGTTCAAAGTATTGCAAGAAGTCAGAGGTCTGGGCTCCAGGTAGTTGAGCTGGGTAAACCTTTAACTCGGGTCGGGTCAGCGGCTTTTCTTGTTTTATTACTGTACTCTGACAAAAGGGCTACCCGACTAAAAGAGCAGTTAGCAGGTTACTCAAGTGCTTGTTTCCATGTAATGTATTATCACCAGACAGGGTTTCTATTAAACCAAAAGGGGCGCTTTCTGTGCCACCTGACTAAGGGCTTTCCTCAAAACAGGGCTGGCCTCAAAGTTGTGCCAAGTTGCCTTCGGCCTCATTCAGACTGAATTRGGAGCTCCTTCATGTGAGTATCTGCCTTCTTGGAAATTAAAATTGTTGCAGTCAAAATACCCATATGTCTTGCCTAACCTGCAGCCTCTTTCCGTGTAGGAAGGAACGCATGCTAATAACTGCTCCTTCCAAACAAGTGACCTGTGTGCACAGTGAAAGCCTCGGGAGGAACTTGGCAGGATGAAGCCTGTCATCGTAGTGCATGGTGGAGCTGGCCGGATCTTCAAAGAACGAGAAGAGGGATGTCGTGCTGGTGTTGTCAGAGCTGCGYTGCGAGGTTACAGTGTCCTGAAGCAAGGAGGTAGTGCTGTAGATGCAGTTGAGGAGGCAGTACGGTCAATGGAAGATGATCCTCATTTTAATGCAGGTAATTTTTTAAAGTTAGGTGGGCTTGGAATTGTTTCACCCTGGTACTTCTGAAAATCCTAGCCTGCATTGTTATTATTATTATTATTATTGCACTATTATTGAATTATCTACATTGCAGTGGAGTAAATACTAGTGTCATGAAATAGGTGATTTCTCAGCATGGTATGTACTGTAGTTTCTCAAGAGTACACTTAGGAAGATGAGTTACTCTTTTCTCATTCTTCAGTGTTATGTATCTGCTATTTAATTCAAGCAGTGCTGTTTTACTTCTCTGTAAATATTCTCCTGTTACTGTGCTTGTATATCCAGTTTTAAGACATGGACTCTTAAGGAATATTTGTTTAGTTAACRTGTCTTTAAGGCACTTGGATATACTTTGCAGCATTATTTAATCCTTAATGCTGGTTCTTTACCTATTGTCACTCRTGTTGGGGATTTTAGGTGTTTTTCTCTTAATTAATACTTGCAGTTAGTTATTTTGTAAGTAATATTACAGAAGTAATGCAGTAATGGTATTTGAGTTAAATCTATGCATTGAGGGTTTGATACTGGATTTCCTAATCAGTAATGTGAACTAATGTTAATGGTAGTAGTCAAATAGTTTTTCCTCTTCTTATGACCTCATTTTTTTTATTTTGATGAATTTCAGCAGAAGTATTTCCCCACTCCCACCACAGTATGTCAGGAATGAACATGGAATGAAAGACCTTTAGGTGCTCAGTGTTTTAGATAACATAGCTGTTATTTATGTGCACAATAATTTGCAGACATTTGTTCCTTCTCACCTTGCAGTTAAGAGCAAGGGAAAACTTCTATTTAATATTAAATTTGCAGTGTTTTGTTACTGACTTGGGTTGAGCATTTTGATTTTTAGAGCATTCAAGCTGAAATCATGAAATGGACTTACAGGTGTAATTTGTACTTTTATATAGTTAGCATCAAGGTGGCATTCTCTCATTTAGCTTTTACTTAACTGGACTTGAGCCTTCACCCTTTGCTCAGGTTTGAGTATGATGATCTAAGGGGCAAGTAATCTGTTACTTATGGAAACATCTAATTATGTTTGTGCTCATTAGATACAGTTGSTCTCAGAATCTGGCAAAAATGAGCTGAAAGCTATGTCAAGAGGACCCTGATTGGAGTGGCTGTTTAAAACTCACTGTGTAATATTTATCTTCATAAAAGGGAAAAAATCAGATTTGCTGTTATATTTTCTAGGCAATCACAGACATCACTAAGAGACAACAATAAAGATGGGGAACAATGGGCAGAACAATCATGTTGTGTCCTTTTTTGAATGATGGGATGTAGCCATACTATGTGGAGTCATCTCCATGCAGGCTTGGTGTGAGAGCACCAGAATATACTGGTGTCTAAAATTACCATTTTATTGACTTGTGCAGTGTAATAAAGTCATCAGGTTCTACTTGTGGTGAGAAAGTGGCCTTGGTTATATTTCTCTGTGATCTCTTTGGCTAGCAATATGAACCRGCTTGGCATGAGTACTCCGGGTGTAAGAACTGACACTGTATTGATCCTTGCACACTCTTCCCTATGCAGCCTTTGCAGGACAGGGGACAGATCTGTCTACAGATAGAGGGAATTGGAGTACTCCTCTCAATAGCTGTGTTTTGGCTAATGTCAGACATGTTTGTTATTTATGTCCTCCCTAGATTTTCTGTCTTCTATTTTCTCCCTCCTGTTTTCCCAGCCCTTTGCTTTATATGTGATCCAAAAAATTTATTTTTTCAGCACTGCTGTCAATGGTGAYCATAACCTCAGAGGCTGGTAGTCCCTATCTATTGCTTTGGAAGGCAGGTGAAAAGGCAGTCTTCAATRACAAAAGGAAGGATTCATCCCACCTGAGATTACTTGAAGTTCAGTAACTCTAGCTTTGCTAGAGTGGTGTATAGACTTTGATGGTGATTAGTGGAATGAAAAAAAGTTGGCTAAACAGCTCTCGAGGCTGTAGGAGTTGTGGATGCCCCGTCCCTGCAGATATTCAAGGCTGGGTTGGATCAGGCCGTGAGCAACATGATCTAGAGGATGGCATCGCTGCACATGGAAAGGAGTTGGCAGTAGATGATCTTTAAGGTTCTTTCCAACCCAGGCTCTTCTGTGATTCTGTGGCAAGTGGGATGAATTGTTCTTAGAAAGCACCTGTCTCTCTTTACTAGAAAAGGGGACTTTTTTAGAAAGCTGAACTGCAACTGTTTTCTGCTCAGTAAATTTTAGAAAATCCTTAAGTGTATCCTATGAGACATGTCCAGTAGACGAAGGATACTCTTAATACAGTGGTGAAGGGGCCTAATTGAGTTTCCCCTGGGACCATGGTTCTGATCACTGATATTTGAGAAAGGCGTACCCTAGTTCTAGTAGGAATTCTGTGACCATGGGCTAGAAAGCTTACCTTGTCACAAGAAGTTCAAAGAGCACGGCAGGGTTTAGCTAAGAAAGCAATTCTTTCCCAGCATAAGGTAAAGCTGGAAGAATTAGTGATAACATGGGGGGCACAGGGCAGTTAAACTGTAAACTCTTTACAGATCAGTGTATCTAGAAATTAACATATTGTGAATGATGCGGGACGGAACTCTGGAATAATTTGTGCAGTTGGAGACAGGTAAATAACAATTTTTGGGGGGTGTGCCTGTATGTGGCAGGGGCAGTTTTTGAGATTGCAAGAGGAAGATTACAGGATTTTGTTGYCTCTTTTTCCAGGAGATTTAACTTCAAACATTCAGGTCAGAAGTACATTGATATTGAAGTCTACATCCATCATTAACAGTGATTTCTGRACTGCTTTAGTATTCATTGAACAGAACCAAAAAAAACCAAAAAACAACTGGATTAGCTATGTGCAATGCTCAGGTCTTTTTACCTGAGTGGTTGTGTAAGTCTGCCATGTTTTGGTTTGGTTTTTTATTTCTTTTTAGGTCTAGTCTTCATCATCTGTATTAGCAAGGCTTGTGCACTTGGTAACTTACAACCTGTTATTCCACTGTGATRCAATTATTGGCATTATTTAAAAAGCCACCCTGTTTGTGTTGTCTCATTTTGTATCTCATTAATTTTCAATTAAGTTAGTAATAACACTGATAATTATGGAAGAAAATAAGTACCTGATGTGTTATTACTTTTTTTTTAATTACTTTATGTACTGTTTTTATTTGGTAATGGAAGAACTTGTTGTTTCAAGCTTTAGCTACAGTAGTGAGGGGGACATTTTTATTCTACTCCATTAATTTTGGCAGTTCCTAGGAGTGCTGTRTGACATTTAATCTGTTGATAGGATCAAACACTATACCATTTCTTGGGTGATGTTGTATCCTCCTTTGGAAGAACTGTAAAAGTAAAATAGTTTTGTACACTTAAAAGTGATCTGGGRAATAAAGAATTCTCTTCATCATGGTTTGTCATTTTAACTTCAATACCAAGTATATATTTTGGATGGGATTGGAAGTGTGGTTTTCGTCTTACAAGAAAATAAAACTCAGTTTTAAAGTAGATGTACTCTGTGATACTTCTGTTAATGGCTGGATTTTGTGGTTATACTCAGCAGTGTTTCTGCTGTTTTCTTTGTATTTGGGAGATACTTTCAGTAAGTCAGCAAACGGGGAAAGAGAAAGGTTGCTTGATGAGAGCTAATAATTGAATCACCTGAGTGGTTAGCTCTTAATGACTTTCTTTTTTTCTCTTGCCCCCTAATTTTTTTTTTTTTTTTTTTTTTTTTTTTTTTTTTTTTTTTTTTTTTTTTTTTTTTTTTTAGGTTGTGGATCTGTTCTAAATGAAAAAGGCGAAGTAGAAATGGATGCCATTATCATGGATGGAAAAAATTTAGACTCTGGAGCAGTGTCTGCAGTTAAGTGCATAGCAAACCCAATAAAACTTGCTCGACTTGTTATGGAAAAGGTATGCTGATTATCTACTYGAGTATAAAGCATTTTCTTTTCCTTTGAACTTCCTCCAGTGTATTGATACACTTCAATGATGATGTTTGAGTAGTGCTTTAAAGCAGGAAGGAAGGCAGAAATGGATTGGCGTGTTTCAACACTATGGTCATGACATGAAGCACTTACTTCAAGGGATTTTGAGAGATATTTATAAAAAAMCCAGCATTTTAAGGAAACATGACTTGACATACACATGTTGGTCTCCTGTAGTTCCACTGCTGATGTTCAAGTCTTTTTTTGGTGTTGTTTTTCACTTATTTTCTGGAGAGCTTTCATGTTGTGAGTGAGCCTTGTGGTTGATCTTGCAAGATTAAAGTTAGGTAGTATGCTCTTCACTTTGCAGTGAATGARTTAAATGGCCCAGTTGCATATCTGACTATGTAATGCATGCTTTTGTTTTTCTGGGTAGCCTTCTCCATTGTGACTTGATCAGATGGTAGCACCAGTGCAGTTGTAATCTTTCAGCAGTAGATAACCTTAGYTCTATACAGTGCTGACAGATTTTCCAAGAGAATCAAACTTATCAGGGCAGTAAAATATTTCTTGACCTTCTATAGAAGATCAATTCCACCTTACTCCACTGAGAAGTCCATCTAATATTTGCCACAGCAAACTTCTCTTATTTTTCAGATGGTGCAACTTATCTATGTCAGGATGGGAGYAAGTGATTTGTGTGGTATCTGTGTCTGTTTTACTAAGCTCTGACAGTGATCAAAAAGTTTATCCTGTCTTTGGAGTTTACATTTTCATCCTACTAGTGCAGCTGCTCCATTGCTGAAAAGGTTCATATTTTTTAAAAACACTTACCAACAAAAAAGACTTACGTTTCTTTAACCTTTCAAAGTGACTTTTGAAGAAACAAAATCTGGTTTGGTCATCTGTAAAGATGACTGACATTTATCTTGTTCTCAGTGGCCTCCAAAGCAGATGGAATTTTTTTGTGTCCTTAACTGTAGGATAGTTCTGCTTTTAAGAACAGAACATTTCACTAAAACATTGAATATAAATACTTCAGTGAAATTTATGTCTATTAGAAAACAATGTTAAAACTTTTGATAAATCAGGGTTTTCTCCTTCATATGGATTTTGTTTTGTCATTAACACTGGATCAGTAGATAATATAGGTGGTAGCTTCAAAAGACAAAATTTGAGAAGACAAATAAAAGGTTGGGGTAGAGGTGGCTCTAGCATGTYAAGGTGAATGTTGTATTTTATTTTTTTCTGTGGATAACTTACTTTAATGCCTTTTTTTCAGTTTGTATTCCAGAATCACTGATTTATTTTCTTYATTGTGTTGTCCATGAAAAAAATTGCATTTAAGTCAACAAGAATATAGTTAAAACAACAGTGTTGGATTTTGAGAACATAGCTTTCCAAAGTGCGTTTTAAAAATCAAACAAAAATCCCCAAACCAACAAACAGAAAGCCCTCTCCTCTGTCTGCCTTGTCTATTACAAGGTCTTTTTTGTCATTGCATGTTGCTTCTGATGTTCAAAAGTGTTGGGGCTAAATCTGAAATGAAATCATAAAATTTTACTGTACAGGGCCAAGTATGATGGTGTAGCTCTAACACCAAGACATTCTGTGGTAAAGATACTACTATTTGCTCAGGTGCAAAAAAAAATCTGTGTAGGTGATAAATTTAAAAYATAAATGTTGGCCAAAGTTGTTTCATATATCTTGAGACGAGTTTCTGCACTTCTCCATCTCCCTTAAATGGAATGCCAACTGATGTTGCTCTTCTGTTCATTATTTCCCATCTGTTCMTCTTGGACAGGAATTTTGGGACACCAACCCAGGCTATTTCATAGTACATTTCATAGTGTGTTTTGTTGTACTGTGCTTAATTAAAAACATCTTTGACTGTGTGACTTGTGGGTAATAAGGGTATTTTTCTTRGGATCTTAAGTATGTATGCATATTTCCCAGGGGTTTTGAGAGCCTCAATCCCATAAGGAGTTTTGAAACATGCAGCTCCCAAAAACAAACAAACCAACCAAAACCACCCTGCACGTCTGCTTGTAATTGTATTTGCAACCTATTATGGAACAGTGTGGGCTCCATCTGGTGGCCAGAGTAGCTCCTCTGGGTTGTTGTTGCAATACATTTGTCGTTTTGTGCTGTCACTTTCCCACTGGACTCAAACTTGTCCAAATTCATGGAGTAGAAAAACAGAGGGCACCACAATACTTTCCATTTATGATTTACTGTGCTGTTGATCACAGGAGCTTCCAGAGGTGGAAGACTTTTAGTACATTAACTAAAATAACAAATTCTTCAAAAAGCAGTTAAATTTCCTGTTCAATTACTCTTCTTTGTATTGAACATAAATAGAATGATATACTGAATATTTATTTTTTTAAATATGGGTCATGTAACCCTTCTCAGCTCCAGCACTTCATTAGATGGGCTTCTCATGAGCATTAGAGCACTAATTCTTTGGTATATGTAAGCTGTGTATGTTTTCTCCTGCTCCTATTGTGCAGGACTTTGCATTAGACAAAAAAGAATTTAGCTTAGAACACAGGCTTCTTGAGGCAAAASGCCAGGTTTTTTTTCTATGCTCTGCACTGCTGGAATTGTTAAATAAAGAACTTTGATGGTCTGAATTTTGGGCCAGGCAGAAATTTAAGGTATTTTCCCCATTTCCAGTGACATTAACTAAAAGTACCAACATTGTTGCTTATTCATAAGATCTCTTGAATCCTTTTTTTTTGTCCTTCTGGATTACTTTATGCAAATACCTTCCAGAAAAAGTAAACACTTTAAATTAGCAAGCATATTAACGAAACTTTGGAAGGATAAGGCAGAAAAATGTGCTTTTGCATTGTTTGACCATGTTCTACCAGTTCTTTTGATTGATAGCATCTATTGAAGAGAATAACGAAAATTACCTTAAGACATCTTCTTTTCAGTGAGGACTGAAAAAGAAGGAAAAGAAACCCCAAACACAAGGCCCTATTGTAGAAGCTAATTTATTAATATGCAAGTATTTCTTGTTTTTGTAGCCTAGTAGGGTGGATATGTTATCCAGATTTGCATATGGGRTCGCTCCCTTCGAAAAACTTTTTAGAAATAATGCCCATTTTTTATAATAAAACTTAATTTTTTAAACACTTATTTAAAGGACTATATAGTCTTAATTGCTGAGGAAATCAAGTGATGGTGAACTCAGCCTTCTGGTACAGATCAAGACAAAAGCAAATTTCAAATTTCCTACAAAAACCATCAAACAACAAAAAAACCCCAACYCACAAATAAAAACCAGAACTAATYTGAATATTGTATTGTGTATTTCTGGTGGGTTAGTGGCAGTGGCAGAGGGGGGCAGTATTGCACAAAGTTGGCTTTGAAGTAGAAGAACGCTACTCGACAGTTGCATTAGAAATAGATAGGTCTTGCATTGTCTGCTAACATCACTCTGCATGTGAGCCTGATGTCCACTGTCACRTGTACAGGGGACTTCTTGTCATCCTTAATATTGTTTCCTGAAACAATACTCTCATGAATTAAAGATTAATTCAAAAGGCATTTAAATTTTCGAAAATATTTGCTATCGTGGCTGCAGCATCAAGAATGATTCCAAAGTGTAGTCCTCYGTCAGTGTCTAAAGGGCTTAGTGTAGAGGCTGTCATGGGTTTAAGTAGAGATCAGTGTCTCAGATTTGGGAAGAGAAGTTTTTCTGGGATCCTTTAAAACAATGCGGTGCTGTGGGTTGGTCATAAGTGATTAATTACCATTACTTTAGAAATCAACAGAAGTTGATGGTCTGCAACATCTTAAAAACCTGAAGAGACTGTAACTGTCCTGCAGAAGGTATCATGAAACTGAAATATGCAGCCTCTGCTGTCCTTGCTTCTGGCCSAGAGCTGGGAATGTGCCACGTGGGTGCTTTGCCAGGTTCTGCAGATCTGCTGCCTCCAGGATCACATGTTTTTTTTTGGGAACTCAGCTGGTACCTGTGTGCTGTGCTGCTGCAGGAACATAAAGGCTTGCTTTAAGTTAYGTGCTCTTCTCTGCAATTGTTCCATGCTGTGTTGTGAGACCACCACTTCTATAAAACCTCCTCAGGCTCTGATGAGTAGTGTGATTGTGAGCTGTGTAATTGTGCAAGAAGCTGATGCTTACTTCTTGAGACATTTTTTAAAAAATCTGATTTTAGAGCTACTACTAAAGTATAAGGATTAATTAAAGAAATTTATCTGGCAAGTTTCTCTAAAATATGAATTAACTGAGCTCTACAGACTTTGGAACATGGAATTAACTAAGGTTGYTGAATTTAAATCTGGTCTGAAGTGCTTTGTAAATAAAGGAATCAAAATAGAACTTGCAAGTATTGTTAGAAGAGGGCAAACATTTTTTGATCAAACCCCTCAGGAAGTATTCTGTTCTTAAATTTGAAATTCTGAGTTTATAAGAATAGCAGCTTRTTAAAAKAAATAATTAAAAGAAAATTGTTCASCTGATGTTAAGAAACACTTTAATTGTTTRCTGTTTACATTTGTTGGTTATTTTAGTAGGTTTTAAATGGGAATTTATTTAGCATTCTTTTGAATAAAAGCCTTCTAAATCTCTTAGTTAACTGGACAAAACAGTTAGTTATGTAGTAATTTGGTAACTCACTGGAAACAGTAAAACAAAGTTTCATRCAAATTAGCTAAAGAGCAAATTTACCAATTTTTCTTCTACCATCATAGTAAGTGTTAAGTAGATAAATGTAATTCTTTCTTATGGGTGGTTAAACTTTGTGGTTTGGAGAACTGAAAGCTTTTTCAGCTATAGTGGAAGGGGATATGGGCAGAAAATAAAAAATAAAATTCTGATTTTTCTTTATGTGGCTGCTTCTAAAAATGGTGGTTATACTGCTCAGTACAAGACAAAGCAAGAGTTGTCAGTGAATCTCGTGTCTGTCTTCTGCAGACGAAGCACATGCTGCTGACTGACCATGGTGCACACCTGTTTGCTCAGGCCATGGGTATTCCTGAGGTTCCAGGGGAGAAACTCRTAACAGAGAGATCCCGGGAGAGATGGAAGAAGAATCTGGAGCCAGATTCCAACCCTGAAGAATTTCAGAAGTAGGTAAAATATATTTTATTTTTAAATTCAGGTGATTTAATTTGTACTATCTAGTTACAAAAAAAAAAAAAACGCGAAAGAAGCTAAAACCCCACAAACAAACAAAGCAACCAAGGAAACAAACAAAACCCCAGACAAAGAAACACAAACCTTGAAGGCCTGTATTCCAAATGTTACATGGTTTGATACAGTCTTTATAGTATATCTTCATTGAAAGCAGTAGAAAATAAAGCTTTCAATGAATTTGCTGAAGCTTAAATGACGGAACAAACTTGAACAAACTTGTTGCTGCTTAAGAAGATAATTGGTCACTTTGACAATAGCATAGATTTGAAGGCTTTATTGGAAGGCAAAGTTAGAACTTGTTATTGCTCTTAAAATYACCAGTTACAGAAGTGCATAGAATAGCTTTAATGAACAGTAGGTATGATTTGGTATCATTTTTTTCTGCTGGGGAACCGTGATTTTAAAAACTCTCCAGTATCCATACTAACAAAAGTCCATTTTAAAAACCCAAAAACCTAAGAAAGCTCATTTTGGTTAAGTAGATGATCAGATTTGTCTTTAAACTAGATTAGGTAATTAAACAACATCAGACTTTGACCAGTAATTCCTTCTGAGTGCTAACTGTGGCTGTTGGTTATGAAAAGGAATGAAGAAAAAATTACCAAGAAGTTTAGTGGTGGGTGTGAAGAGAGATGCTACTGGATGTTACTGCCCAACAGCAAAATGACACTTGGAAAACAACCCAGTCTCAACCATAAGGTAGAGAGGAAGGCGTAGTGGACAGTAAAAGGATGAAAAACATCAGGGGTCAAAATGTTTTCTGTGCCTGTGAGGTAGGCATAAACACTAAAGAGTTGAGCTTACATTTGTATGTCCATGGTTGTGGTGCAGGAAGACACTGTACATTTCATAAATGCTGTGTTACATGCTGCTACTCTGTTTTGTGAAATAAGAAAAATGGCAGTAGCAGAATTGAATTTGTAGCTCAAAGGGAGGGAATTTCTTCTGTGGGCAAGTTAATTAAAGTCCATGAAATTAGTTTATAAACTACAACCTGTATGTTACTTTCAGTGAATTGCTACAAGGAAAAACATATTAATGAGACAAGCCATAAGGTCTTTGTCACAGTTCATCTTGTATCCAACAGAAGTKTTCTTTTGATCCATGGTCTGTCCAAGGACTGTGTGGTATTATCATTAATTACAAAGAATTTTGAGGATGTAGCCTCCACTGCCTCTTGTTCTCATGAACATATCASTGGGAATAGCATGGCATCTAGGTCTTCATTCATTCCTCATAACTGCTTCATTTTTACTTTTTTTTTCACCTTTTTTTACCCTGAAAACAGTGTTAGGCATCTTCAGTTTCACGTGGACTTGTTCGGAATATCTGATAATAAAAAGCTTGTGTATTTCTGAAGGGCTGAAGACTTTCTTGCCTTGGCCATGCTGTTCTTTTTCTGAAAACCAATGCCCAAAACAGCACAAATTCACAAAGTTKAAAACAGGTATTTTTTAATGCAAACCCATTTCATTCTATATCACATGTGGAATGTTCTTTTTCCCTGTTATGTCCACAGTGATTATGCAGAAACTTGCCTGAGGCAAACAGACAGAAGGTGCAGTAGTATTAGTCAGAGGCAACATAATACAGATCATACTGGGAATTTGAAGGTTGGTGTATATTTTGCTTCCAGTCCCCTGATCCTCACAGAGTTGGAAACCCTGGGGTTTCATAGGCTTTGCATGCAAAGTCTGGTATCTCTGTAAGAGATGCCTTTTCCTCTGCTGGTTAGAAGCCTGCATTCATTTRTGCTGAAAGCTTAGGATTCCATTGCGTGTACAACATTCCATCTTGCGCACCTTTTGCTGAGAACAAGGTGTGTGCAAGGTGATTTATTTGCAGTTCCTCACTCCAAAGACTCTGGCCATACCCTTGTTAAGAATTACTGGAGTTTGCCTGAGAATCCCACAGAACAGGAGTAGAGTCTGGCTGTAAGATAGTAAATGGGCTCCTAGYCCCACTGTGAATCACACTGCAAGAGTAACTCGAGGAGGCATWAACTAACAAGGAACCTGGCAAATCTAAATCATACATTTTGTATCACAGTATRTGCAATATATAGGAATAATTCTTGATTGAAAAGAATCTCTAATAGCATTCTCTGGTATACCACAGGGACTTGTTGAGATTTTTGCAACTRTCAATAACTAAAAATAGATAGAAGGTTATAATTTGATAGCAGTTTTGCTTGCCTTGTTAATGTTTCGGAGTCAACTAGCCATGCAGAAAAATGATTTGTGTCTTCTTTGCCTTTGTTCTGAAGATGATCAAAGAAGATGTTACAGTGAATCAACAAAAAAGGGACAGTAAGAAATCAGGTGTAGTTGTCTATTTGCCCCACTGCAGATAAGATGTGTTGGATATATTCACTTTGTTATTCATTGCCAGCTGTGCTCTCATACCAAAATAGGTAATTACTGCCTGTATCATCTGTGTGCTTTGATTTTCACAGATGCTTCAGGTAAATAATTGCATAAGAAAGTGTACATCTGGATACATCTTTCTTAATTTCTCAGGAGGATCTAACTTTAGTTGGTTGAAGGGTGCTACATGAATGTGCAAGGGAGTACTGAATTTACTAATGTTCTTTTCAGCAAATCATTTGTAACAGATGGATGGGTGGGAAGCCCATCTGCACCATCATCTCAGTTTGAGATGAGGTCCATCTTCACATAAATGTCAGAGCAGTTTATAAGGGCTGTGATTCATCAGTCAACTTTGAATTGCTGTGAATGAAGTGTAGGGACTGACAGTATGATATTTTACATAAGCAGGAGGGAACAGGAAGTTGGTTCTCTGAGAAACTGACTGTGGGTTTCATGGTACACAAAGACTTTGTCTGGCTTAATTAGTTAAAATTTTGCAGAGCTATAGAGAAACCCTCACCAGTTCCCAGGCAAATTTGAAAGGTATTCATTTTCCAGTTGCCTGTTGAGTAGTTTCTTGAAGAATTGTTACAAATTATTTTCCTGTGTTGAAGGATTTAGATTATTTYGGGGGTTTGGTGTACTTCGCGTAGTCACGTACTGGTTTATGTTCCTACATGAATTGCTAAGACTGGAATATGTGGATATTTAAACTGTTGCTTCTCATTAATTGTCATTGCTGTCTCGCTACTCAGTGCAACAACTGTTACAGTTAAATCATGACAGGCTTTTTTTTTCCCCATACACGACTACACATGTATATTTTGAGCAGGTTATTATGTCYTTTCTGTGTTGAAGAAATGAAGCAATAGTTCAAACTTCTGTTTTCTTCAGTGCATGARAATTTTCAAACCAATTTGCAATTTCAGCAGTCTATTGGCCAAGTGATTTAAACCTCAAGATTGCATACCTACAGAGTACRAAGACTAAAATATGTATTAATGATGCAGTGTGAGCAATACTAGTTGAAAGGCAAATAAATAAGCTTTTTTTTTAATAGCATTCAAACTTTAAGGGGAGTAAGGAAAAGGAAAGAGGAGGAACAGGAAGGAAATGATTCAGTGCCTGCATAACATTACTGTCCTTTTCTGTATTCACTGTGCATTGTCATTAATAATTCCGGTTAACCTCCTGTTGAGACAGTGGAGCCAATTGTTGCATCTTTGAGTTGCCATTTAGGGGAAAGTTGTGTTTCAGTTTGTGTGTCAGCCAAAAAACTACTCCAGAACTATAATGACTAGAAGTATTTCTGCCCTGTGAGCTTTTGTTTTGCGGGTTTTATTCCTCCTCAAGTTTCCATGCTATGAAAGTGAACAAGCCATGGGGGAACGATTTTTAAAAAAAAGTGTTTTCTGCTCTGTTAAATATATAGCTTGTGAGAATTGTTGTGTATTTCTTGTTATTTTTGTAATGAGAAGCACAGCAAAAATAGCTGTATGATGAGCAGTAATTCTGTTGTAGAAATCTTCTTTAAAGCTACCTGGGAAATAAAGGCAACGTGCTTTGGCAGGTATGCTTTAATTCTGTCTAATTTTGTGAACTGTTTTTCTTGGCAGAGACCTTGGAACAGTAGGCGCTGTTGCTATAGACAGTGAAGGCAATGTAGCTTGTGCAACATCCACTGGAGGACTCTCTAATAAACTGATTGGCCGTGTTGGTGACACAGCATGCATAGGTATGGGATATGGGATCTTGCCTTTCACTTTTTGGAGGTATCTCGTTTAAAAAAAAGAAAACAAAAAGTATTAAAAATTCTCCTTTTCATTAGTGAAACAAAATCTAAATTCTAGTCCATCTGAAATGAAGGTATAACATTCAGAAMTATCAAAGCTCAACCTCCTTACAGCATGGAGATTTGCAAGAAAGTATTGGAAGTTCTGTGTGTAAAATGGGGATGTGAGTTGGTTTTTTCTGTCTTTTCTTCAGTGCTGAAACCAGTGTTTCCTTTCTGTTGATTCCAATAAAGCTGTCCTTTTTTAAATCTGTGCTTTCCACTAGGTCAAAAAATGTAGCCTGCTCCATATTAAAATTCTGTTTCCTTGATACTTAAGGAAGTAGGTACTAATTGCAATTTATTGTATCAGTGAGCAATAATTTATAAAGTGACTGGCAACTTTGAGTAAATTCCTGTTCTTAAGAGGGCCTGATAAGACTGCCTCAGAACTTAGTAGATGTGATATAGAATAAAGGAAATATTTTGAGAGATCTCTTAACCAAGTATAAAGAGTCACTTGAAATCCTTTCCACAGACTTCTTCCTCTCGTGAAACAGACTTSCCATTTGATGGCTTCAGGGTTCTACCATACAGCTGAGATTTGGAAAGTAATTATTTTCAGTAAAACATGTTCCAAACTCAAATAGCATGACTGTTGGCAGTATTATGATTATTATAAAACTARTATTGCCTTTCTTTTGCATACAAAATTGCTAACATTTTGGTAGCCTCTAMATTTGACTGTGATTTTCAGKTTTTTTTTCTGGTTGCAGCCTTCTGACTGAAAATACGCTCCTCCTGTGTAGATAATGTTCAGGGTTCCTGTAGTTTGGACCATGGGTTTGTGAAGGACATGTGAAATTCGGCTGTTTGAGTTGAGCATATTGTTTGCAACTTTTGGTCTCACTAGACATCTGCATGATTGGATACAGAAATGCCAGCTTTGCTTTTAAACATCAGAGACTTTGGTAGGGGGAAATGACTTACTATGGTAGTGTTTTTGCACATGTTATTCAGTCTGTTAGAAAGGTCTGATCTGATTAAGAAAGCACAGAAGGGAAGAATCTTTCATTGCTCTTCTATGACCTCTTTCCCCTCCCCCAGTACCTTGTTTATAGTGCTGTGGTATGTTTCTTCCTAGCTCCTGGGAAATATTTTTCTTAGGAGATGTGCTAGAAATATGGGTATTGAGCAAGCAGAAGCTTGGTGGAGAACAGGGTGTGGAATGTGCTAGTAAAACAAGGATGGGAGAAAAAAAAAGAGGGGGAAGGGGAGTTCAACAGAATAAACACTCTGCTTGTGATGAGAACTTGGAAGATTATTCAGGAGTGCTTTGTGGAGTTTTAYTAAAGCCCATGATCTTGAATCTCTTACATGCTGTGGACAGTAAGTTCCCTTCAAACTGGTCAGCTCACCAATGCCCTCAGTAGATGTTCCTTCATATYTTCTCAATTGATGAACCTGGCATTCTGTGTCCTGACACTGTCTTGCTGATCCTCAATATACCCTTCCTTGCTGTTCTGGAAAGGTTTTTTGCCATTCCTGTGGAGTGTGGGCCCTCTTCTGCTTCTTGTACATAAACGGCTCACTAGCCTTCTCTCTCAAGTTGGCAACTAACTTGCTCCAACATTGTTGATTTCTTTCATATATTTCACTTTTCAAATTGCGGCAGAAATGAGAAAGAAGCATTACTGACACTTTGCTCCCAAAAATGTACAGAGCTAATGGATTTACAGGGACAAATGTTTGGTATCCATTTTAAACAGTACAGGGCTTTTAAACTGTATTACAGAATATTGCCTTCTTGTTTTTTTCCTCTGAAAAGGAAGTGGAGGTTATGCTGATAACCATTCTGGTGCCACTTCAACCACAGGACATGGGGAGAGCATTATGAAAGTGGTCTTAGCCCGACTGATCCTCTATCACATGGAGCAAGGTATATTCCAAACTTCCTGTAAGCTGAAATAATGAGGATAGGAAATGTTGCCTAATCACAGGTTTCAGTCTATGTGCTATCATCCTAGAACAGTTGTTAGAAGAGTTGCTCTCAGGGGTATGTGGATGGGTCACCTCTTTAAAAACAAAACAAAGTATTAAATTATTAATAAAGCTAAAATAGCTGAAGTGAACAGAATTATTTCTGCTGCCTGATACTGAATCATGCTTTTGATCAGTGTACATTGGGAGACATTACTGTCTACTTTAATTGAAGTTCTCTTTAATCATTTTTCCCAATTATAAACTAAAATTTTGTGAACAAGAAATAGAAAACAAATAAAAATGAGATATATTTAAGGCAGCAGTAAGGGAGGGCTAGAAAAAGATAACTGGAGCTGAAATAAGAAAGTATGGGATGTTGCCTTTCTAATAAACTGTAAAGGTCTTTTTTCTAACAACTCTGATTACAGCAACAGAAGTTACTGGAAGACATCTTAACCATGATTTCACTTTACATTTTGTTTTGGAAAATGTACTAAACTGACTGGGTGGGTATGTGGTAAACAGCTGACAGAGTATGTCTTGTGTGACTGTAATACAATCTGACTGTGGGATGACCCTTTGGAGCTTTACCTTCATGACTTAGTCTGTCATCTAAACCCTTGATTATGTTACAGCCTGTAAACATAGCCAGACAGCAYACTTGTGTTGAATGCAGTTCAAAAATCATTAATATAGATATCACCATTATTTTTAGAAAGCTGTAGCTTTGGGGCAGTACAGTGTAGCTTGCTTTGAGATCGACCAAACTGGAAATAGTTGGAAAACATTCAATTTACATTTTCATTGGAGAGGCAGTAAGTAGAGAGATGACTAAAAGCTGAGAATATTCTTGTTATGCTTTATAGAACTGTTCATATGCAATGGATGCATTTCTCTAAATCTCATCGCTGATGTAACAGTTTCAGCATAAAATACAATCTACAGATTATTTTCCAAAGCTCTTAATATGTTATGTTCTCCCTTTACTCTCTATCTAATGTCCCTAACTATTCAATTTGTGAATGGCTTTCTAAGCTCTCGTCTAAACTGTGTAAATCAGTTTCTTCACTGGCTTGAAGTTAACTGGATGGCAAGACTTATGCATTAATAGCAATTATCTGGCTTGTGATTAATCATTTTGAAAGGCAAATGAATCTCAAACTAAAAAGTTCATTGGAAAAAGAAAAAAAGAAAATGAACCCACGTGTGTTCATGTCTAATTGGTTTGCACTTGTTCACCCTGCCCATGCTTGCTTTATTTTCATTCATCCTGCCCAGAAGTGTAACTCAGCTGCCAGGCAAACATGTCAGCAATTAGACTCCCCCCCAGCCCTTCCTCCAAACATKTTTCCATGAAGGCACTGAAAACAAACCCTCAAGTTATTATAACTTTTTGAGTCCTTAACAGTGAGCTGAAGTTGCATCTATAAGAACAAATAGAGAGCTCTCATAATTTGCTCAGCAATTCAGTAATTCACACACTAAATATTTTCTTTTGGACAAATGCTGCAAAATTTACTTCTGTATAATGCTTTGCSAGTCTTAACAGCTGTTGGAATCTCAGTCTTACAGTGGCAGCTGTTGTCTTGGTGAAAAATCAAACAGTGAAATACTGATCCTTTGAAGACAGTGCCACTGATTTGAATAGTCACCCATGCGTCAGAGAAAGGAGCTTTATCCTGTCAGTCACCAGTATTGTGAATAATTCTGACTCTGCTGGGTTTATTTGGTTTTAACTCAAAATTTGCAGGGAAGGCATGAAGGTCAATTTTTGTTCTGCAATCTAAGCTACATAACATTGCTGAGGGTATATATCTTAGGGTAATTAGGCCAAGCCAACTGTATTGGAATGTGTATTTAAACTTGTAGCGAACTAATATGTTGCAGTTATTGCAGGTCTGTGTGTATGATGTACATGATAAATTTGATTAATTTAGAAAATATTCCTGTTAATATGAATCAAGTAGTGAAAAGCTGAAGTTGCATTGCTGGTCTTTTGTCTGATACCTAGTACCTTGAGACCTCATCTTGCCTGACAGTTTCAGAAGTTTCAGGAACTCTTGCTGATGTCTGCTTTTGCTAAATTCTGACAATGTGAAGTACATGCTTTGGGTACCGTTGCAGCCAGTTGAATTATAACAGGGATGATGACCAAAATTTTGATTTTTTTGATGTGGGTTTTTTCAAATTGTAAATGCTTTAGACCTAGCTCGTGACAAACATTTGATGRAAACCTTGCAGATTGGCATTTTTTTCCTGTCAAATAGTGGCATAAGAAATGTTGTGTCTTGAACATAAAGTTTTTTGAGTTAGTTTGTATCAAACACTGAATCAAAATCTGAAGCTGTGTAAATAAATATTTGGAGCAACATTGTAGAAGGCTTTAGCAACTGTCTGGAGCCTTTCTAGACTGGTTCCTTTGTTAGGTTGGAATTTCTTGCTGATTTAGTTGAAGGAGAAATTAGATTTGACTGGTTCCATGGGGAGGGGTGAAATTTGAAGGGAATTTTAAAACTAATATCAGGACAGATACCTTGAAGTGATTTTGGGTTTGGTTTTTTTTTTCAGGAATGTCACCAGAGCTGGCAGCGGACACTGCATTAGACTACATGAAGACACGAGTTGGGGGTTTGGGGGGTGTTATTGTTGTCAACAAGGCAGGCGAATGGGCAGCAAGGTTCTCCACCAAGCAGATGTCGTGGGCTACTGTAAAGGATGACAACCTGCATTATGGAATTCATGCAGGGGAGAAGCATGTAAAATCTGTTGATGAAGCACTTGCATCTGAAAGGGAGGGATTCTAAAAATGGAGAAAGTTGACTGACAGAGAAGAATGAAGATCTCCAGTTTTTGCTGGGGAGCAAGGACAGTGGACTTTGTCATTCTGGAAGATCTTTTGGTTCACAGGCATCATCACATTTACAGTCTAAACAAAATCTGGGCATAGTTCTTTAATGTACATGTATAAATGTGTAGTCTTTTAATACCTTTGTGAAGTCAGATCCTCCTTTTTTAGACCAGAAGGGGAATGGTCAGTATATTCCTTGGTTAGCATGCCTTAATCTTAYAGTAAAGGGAGCCTAAGATTCAATATTAGAGGAGCTCCTTTCAATGCCAGTTCTCAGGCACTGCTCCAGGATGATGTGAGGGATAAATTAATTAAATTAAAAGCTTATTCATTAAAGACTGAATTTTGAAAATCCAGGAGTCTTTTGAGCAGCTGTCTCATGATAATATCTCGGTAGCTGTCAGTGAAAGACCACCAAAGATCAGTGAAGACTAAAATCCGTTGTTGCAGGCGTGAGGTGACTGTCAGGATATAATGAAGTAAAGAAAGTAACTTTCTCCAGAGAAGGGAAAGTCCGTGCTACAGAGCTCTAATTCCATTCATTGATATCAGACTGGAAATCACAACAAAGTAGGCTACAATATTTCAAACTATATGTGGACAGTTAACAGGAAAGATACTATTGATGCGGTATCTTGGATAGTAATAAAGAAGGTCATGATTTCAATAAAATTAACAGCAATCTTTACTACTCAAATGCAAAGGTGATAGGCATGTTTTAAATCAAAATACAAGCAAGAAATGCTAATTAACTGGAAAAATAATTATCTAAAAGTAAGTGATCAAAGCAGGTTGTAGTAAAACAAATAAAACTGCCTGGTGACAAGCTTCTTGTGTGAAGTCTGAAACATTGTCTGCAGATTTTCTTTTTAAAAAAGAATTGATGTTCTATATTACTTCTAATACATTTTCTTCATTAAGATTTTGTATTTTTAAAAGACAGAGGAAAGTTCCTTTTTTTGTTAAAAATGTCCAACTTGACGTATGTTTTGTAGATCTAAATGGTAATGCATCTAGGTACGGATGTAGGCAGTACACAGGAATACAAATATCYTGTCATATGTACTGGCTTTGTCAGATGAAAGAGTGCACAGAAGGCACATTCCACATGACCTTTCCTTTGCTTGAAGTAGCTGGAGGGATGAACATTTACCCAGTATTGCTGTAACACCTGGTGTACCGTCTTTGTAAAGGTCTTGTTTGTTAACATTTTCTGCTCTGGTCATGCTCCAAGCTGACCAAAACCCAAGTGATGGTTAGGGTAGCAGCAAGCATAAGCTGATACACCTGCTGGGTGGTTTATTGATAAGGGTTTGGCACTATGCTAACCCCGCCAGTTGGCTTTGGGTTAGTTTTGAACAAGTTCACATCGGCCCAGAAGGCACCAGCCACCTCAGCCACACTACAGACAGGATCTCAGGGGTGTCAGAAGGAATAGTAAATGGCTAGTGTGGTTAATTCACCTCAGCTGTTCTTGGGAATACGATGTAATAAATTGCTGGCACTTGACAAAGTCATTATCCTCTATAGGTTCTTCTGTTGCTCATAACTAGAATAGCTGGGCACCTTCCAACTGTGCATTAAGCACTGTGACTACCATCTGTTCTGTATGATTTGTTCTGTCTAACCCACCCTTTGGTACCATGCTCTATATTCCATTCCTATAAGAAGTGTCTGGTTTTTGAAAATATGCATAGGCTGTTACGTTGCCTGAAATTAAAAGACAATAACTTGCAAGAGATAAAAAGCAGATTTTTAATGAAAGCTTTCAGAAAGCACAGAAATGGTCACACACACATGTRATAAAGGACTTGTATAATTTTTATTAGATTAATTCATTAATATATCTAGCAGGTATGTCCAGTAGATGAGTTGCCCCAGGAACCCACCCTTGGGTCAGCTCCTTGGAGTTGGTCCAGGAGTTTCCTTGCCCTATTTGTTGTTATGTCTCTTAAGTTCTGGTGGAAACCCAGATGTCCTTGTTCGAAATCCTCTTCCTAAGAATAAGACTAAACAGAATTTTAACTATGTGTTAGAAACAGATTATTATTCTAAAATATGAGAAAGGGTGAGAAAAGTACTAGAAATCATACAACTATAAATTAAAAATCTACAAAGCTACAAATATATGAAAAGAACTAAAAATCTTTAGGCATGGGTTATCCCTTTCCAGTTCACGGGGTCTGGGAATGACTAACTGTGCCTTACACCCTCCTCCTGTGATCCTCAGGCTATAGTTTGCTCCACAGTTCAAATGATGTCAGCTCAGACTAAGSACTGGTATAGGCATTCAGGGCCATATGCTTTTCTTCTAGGTAGCTGACCAGCACTTCTMAGTAAAGGCATGTGGTTTCCTCACCTAATCTGGATGGCAGGTAGACCCCTTCCAGGACAGTGTTACTCTCCTTCATGAGGGGGAATGATAGCAAATGGTCAGGGATGTGGTAGACCTTATTTTCAAAGGGGATGGAGAGCTGGGGATGAAAGAGTTTTCATCTCTCTTTCACCCTTTCAGTCATGTTCTTCATCTAGAACAGGGTGAGACTGCATTGCGGATGATGTAAGAGGTTGCTGGTGTTGCACAGGACTAATTTTTAATATGCTTACATGCCATCTGACCTTTGCCAATATTGAGAAACTACCCTTTATAAGGGCTTAAACATTTAACAGCTTTTATAAATGTAGTTGCAAGATGCTGAACTTAGCGGGGATACCAACAGCAGGACAGGAAGTTGTGTGCCCCTGCTGTGCACTGCTGCTGGAAATGAGCCTCTAATCCAAATGGCTGTGACCTGGATATCAAAGAAAGAAAATTAGAGGTCTGTTGCCAAGAAACTGGGTGTCCTTGGCATCTAGCAAAGCAGAAACAGTTTTAATTATCTAATTAAAGTGGGGCATCCCATTATTTTATGTCATTTAGAAAGCCAGTTGTGGATGTTGTCCAGTTGCTTTCCTAGTACTTTGTAGAAAGGGTCCCTGACCTGCACAGATAGCTGTGATGGGTGTGCATATCAAAGCAAAGATGTTAACAAAAGCACCAGGGTGGTGACCATTGACTGTGTTCATATATTGTTAGTCCTGTGTAGGTTTTGCTCATAATCTTTTCAAGTTAAAACTAATCAAAACCTGTTCTGTAGGACACCAGTGTTTGGAAATTTGGGTTTTTTTCAGTGTTCTATTTTGTCCTTCGTTTTAGCTCTGTGTCTCAGGGGTGGTTTTCATTGACTTTGAAATCTAACTTGGCAAAGTTTAATGGCACTTGCTGTTTTGCTTGTTTCTCCTCTGGTCTGCTTTTCCTTTGATATGCTCTGATAAATATTTGCTATGGGACAGATTTCAATCTCAGTTACGTCAGTATAAATGAAAAGCAAAAAGCACAGTCACTGAATTCTGTGATTATGCTAGAGGAAGTGAAATCAGACTTGGGCTGTCCTGTCCAAAGTCAGTAGCTCTGTATTGAAACAGCCTTTGCTAATGAGGGAGAGACTCGAGAGGACAGAGAGCCTGCTGCAGGGAGTCACTGCCTGAGACAGGACTCTGGTCTCTGGAAGTTTCAGGGTGAAGACGATGCCCAGGGAAATAGTTAAATATGCATACTGGGAATTAAGTAAGTGTCAGATGATTCACATTAAAGTCTTAAGAGCACATAGGGTGAGCAAAGAGTCATTTTGTTTTAGACTTGTAAGCCACAAAGGATGGGAATCTCATTTTCCTTTCCGCTGCACTCCTTACGCTTGGTTTATTGGGGGCATGTACATACCCTGCAACCTCTGTGTAATTGAGTTTGCCAGACCTGGTCACATGGGCTATAATTTCAATTATTTTTTAAATTTACATTTTTTAAATTCTTGTTTTGGCCTTTAAGGTTCTCCTTGGTTGGAATGAGGCTGTTTTCTTGTGGTTCCTCCCTAAGTTATTTAGTGCTGAGGGCAGGATGGGTTACAATGCGGTCTGCGTGGGCTAAAGCCCTCCAGCCCTGCACTTTTGACCCTTTCCTGCTAGGGCTTTACTACAACTTAAGCTATGTAAATGCATGGTAGCATGCAGCTTATTAAACACTCAGCCTCTTCCAGACTTAATGGCTCTGCCGGGTCCTGCCTGCTTAGTGGCATAGCAAAGCTGTGTGCTTAGCAACCCTGGCTGCCATGAGTGCATCCCCCTCATGCTCTACCTTCCCTGCTACCTCACCACCGAATATAACAAATATTTCCAGCCTTTCCTGGAACAAAAACTTTCCTAGGTTCAGGTRTAACTACCACCTGCCAGCTACAGCCTGTGTATTTTAACAGCGTCATGAAGGCTGACAGGACAGGAGGCACAGCCCTGGGCTGTTAGAGGTGCTCAACTCCCTTCTGCAAGTAGCAATAACTGTAAAACAAATATATACACCACTAAATGCAGACCTGATTGTTTCAGCACTTGCTTTTTCTTAGCAATTTAAAAATTTCAAAAACTCATAGTTTCAAGGAAATTTGTTAACCACTGCTCTTTTGGGCTGGAAAAGTACACAATTTGCAAGGATGTGGGTGCTCTTRTCCTCTGTAGGTTGAACTCATTTCCTGCATGGAASAGAGATAGAGCCAGTAAATCTCTTCTCTCCTATATTATAAAAGGTAAACTGTGGTGTTGTTGGYTGGTTAATTTCTTCATTTATTTTGTTGGTTTTGTTTCTTAAAAGCTGAAGAAGATTATTATGACTTTTCTTTCTTTTCACCTCAGGAAACCCTTCTGAGGTCTTGGACACAAGTATGGCTCAGCTAAGCTTCTAGTAAGGTGCTCACTCAGAAATTACTATATTGGGGGAAATGAGTAGCAGGTTTTCAAGTATKTTAACCCATGAGAAATCACAACTATTTTCTAAATAAAGAAGCCATAGGTCCTTCTCTCTGTTATTTCTGCATTAAGCAAATAACTTCTTTTGAGGTGTGGTCTACTCCTGCCATCGACAGAATRAAAATGAGGATGCTCTCTGGGAGAAAACATGTAAAAAGGGAGGTGGGAAAAGATGATATCATGCCAGATACCACTGTGCCTTCTGGTCTGCCACAAGGCCGTGCTTCAAGCCTCTATGGGGCAAGGGCGTCTGCCAGAAAACAGCCCTGAATTTTCAGATCCAAAGATATTTGGTATGCATTTTCCTGGAGACAAACCTCCAGAAGTCCAGCATGTAATGGTAATATTTATATAACAATTCAGTTCTTCAAAGAAGTATACAGAAGCTGTGAACTAATCTGCACAGCAATTCAGTTGAGTTTATTATATTTGAACTGTTTTATCTCTGGCGARCATGCAGGGAGATTAAGCAACTACTCTGGAGTTACCAAATGCATCTGAGGTAGGGCCCAGATTAGAATATTGATTTCTGGCTTCCTGAGTCCCAGGCTCAGTTCACTACATTATGTTGTCTTTACAGATAACATTTAGACAAATAGATCTTGACATATCAAAAGCTCAGTAGCCTCTCAGAAAATTGAGCAGGGCTTTAGCTGTTCARTTCCTGTGATTTGTGCATGCTTCATGCTTGGTCCCAGTAATGTCAGTAGCTATTGTATATTTACAGTGAAGTCACTTGTATCCTGAGGCATACTAGAATTCTTTTTTCCTCCAAGTAGAAATAAGCTTAATTATAATACATTTTCCTCTTGTCAGATTGAAATTTCTACATAAAATTTCAAAGAAATTTAACCTCAGTCATCTTTACAAAAATCCTCACATTGGTAGAGATTTTCAGTCCTGACCAATGGTAGCTTGTCACTCTTTCTAATTTCTTGAGTAAGAAGTCAGAAAAATGGGAAAAGTCCTGCATACCGGAAGTTCAAATCCAAGTACCTTTGAAATCACCACATACCAAGGATTCTCAGYTTCTGTTATCCAAATGCCAAAGAAAAGGCAAGTATCTACTTKAAAGCTGAAATAAATTCAACACAGAGAATAACTCGGCTATATTTGTATTAGAAAATTTGTCTCCAAGTAGCCACAGAGGTGTAAGAATATTGCCATTGCTACAACYCAGGAAACTTCCAAACTATACCTGAGCTTGCTGAGGTGTAGGCCAGAACTGTTTTTTCACATTTCTAAACTCCAGGTGTCCCATCTGCAGCTAACAAAGGACCCTGGTTACTCTCACAGAGCCTGCTTGAAGGTTGACAGYTGTACAAAAGCTGTACTGGTGTTTCAAACACATCAAGTTGTCTAATAGCCTTCTCCACCCTTCTTTGTTACTCAATGCAGCAGTACGCTGTCATTTGTCAGAGCACCAAAACTGGAGACATGCTGAATATGTGAATACCAAGGAAGTGGTTTCCTTAGCAATAACAGGCATGTGAAAGTCAAAACTTCCTTTCCTCCTCATGTGACCTTTTTCAAAGCAATTCAGCCTGGGGACAATAGGAGTGAATTCCAAACACCCGCAGCGTTCCTGCATGGCTCGGCAAAGATCTGCCAAATGGCAAATTTATCTTACCTATTTATTAAGGCAAAATTATATTTCTCTTTATATGTTCTTCACTAGGATTTGGTATGTTTTTATGTACAGGAAAGTGCTTCTTGAAAGCAGAATTACCTAATACCACATAAACAAATCTATAGAATATAAGTAATTTTCACGCCATTGTGGACCAAAACTTTTGTTATGCATAAAATCCAAAGTCCTTTCTGTTGTCAGGAAATAGGAGCATGAAAACTCTTACCAGCTTGTTTTAATAGCTGAAGTTCCCTGATTACATTTTGCCCATTTTATTTAARGGGAAGAAAAGAGAAAGGGAGATGATTTATGAAGGCAGATAGGAGGAAGATGACATTGATCTCACCCATCCTGCACACAGGAGCAGTATCGGTCCTCTGTTGCTATTCTTATCCTATTTAGTACAGCCTTTTCTCATCCCTAAGGAGACACTAGYGATAGCCAGAAGTACTTGCAAAAAGCTGCCTATCCAAGAATACTGAAGTATTTTCTAAATGTAGCTACTAAATTTAAACCTGGGCTGTCTACTGAGTTAGGRAACTATTCTCTCCCTTTTTCCAGCTGGGGAGGTGATACAGCAGGTAGTTGKCAAAAGGTCAGTGAAAATTTCTGTTGGAGCTGGAAATAGTTGTTCACCATGTTTTCTGTATTTTAACATGTAGCAGACTGTCTTGGATTTCAGAAACTTAAGGAAAGTTCTGGTATTACAGTTCTCCCCAGATTCAGTTGCTGGACCACCCATACACAGCCTCTTGCCTTGCTGCCTGATGGGGTCTGTATTCAAGTCCCTGGTGATTCAYAGACAAGGGTTTAGGCCTCAAGGACCACTGATTATCATCTTGCTTTTAGTCACAAATRCTGTGGTTTGCTTGGGGTTTCCCCWCCACTTTCASCTTTTAGTTTGAAACTCTAGTGTATAAGTTTTCAGAAATGAAAGATGCAATGTGAGTAGCTGAGTTTGGAGCTGATCCYACCAGGCAGGAGAAGAAATTTGACAGGAGACAGTTCCTCTGCAGCTTTTGTG